AAAATAAGTTGGGATTTTCTCTTTAACTGCCTTGAGGGTAGGGGATTTTATCCTAAGTGGTGTAACTGGATTAAAATGATTGTGAAACATGTCACCCTTAGTGTGGTTGGACCTTATTTCTAGAGTGGAAAAGGAGTCAGACAAGGTTACCCTTTATCCCCACTCTGTTCATTCTAGCAGCAGAGACACCCTAGCTAAATCTGGCCCAAATGGTTGGTACCTAATTACTTTGATAAGGGTATTGTGTGCCTACAGTATGCTGATGACACTGTATTGTGCCTTCAGGATGAATGTTGAATTAGCAAAAAATTTGAAGATCCTGTTGTACTTGTATATATGAAGTGATGTCTGGCCTTAAAATCAGTTTCACAAAAAGTAATCTGGTAACTATAAAACATGATGCTTTGAAATCTGTTTTTTACTCTGATCTGTGGTGTAAACTAATTACGTGCGTGTGTGGTGTAAATCTGATTCTCAGAGAGTATCACTTATAGGGAATCTCTATCGAACAGACCACCGTTTCTGCAATTTCCCTATGTTGAAATTTTAAGGAGTATCAAAACATGTGGCATTGCATAACCACAATTTTGTGTACATTTCTTGTTGATTTCGAGAGGGGTATACTAATGGTTGATCGCATATATAGTTGGCCTAACAACAGTACTTGATGTTTTCTATTGCTGTAACCTCAGAAATAAAGGTTTGAATCGTTTTCTATTACATATATTGCAAAATCGGGAACATACGAAACACAGCTGCTGCGGAACACTCTCCGAGCGTACTGAGCTAGCAAACATATGATGATATGAGCACATAGCTGTGTGCTGAATCTGCAAGATAAGGCAAGAGATTGACATGATCGTCACTGTACTCATGGAGCCGTTAAATTAAGCTGCAGCAGACAGGCTTCTACCAGTAACGATATAAAAAATCACAGGGGAATATCCAAAAAATGTGCCCAGCAAGCAGGATACATGCAGACGAATGAATAGAAGCATGAATCGCAGTACTGATTAAGCTTGTGATGGATAAAGCTACCGGCTGGTTCAGAGTTTCTTCGAGCACAAGAGATTGAAAATATCTGCTGGGTTCATTATATTACAGCATCACACATCAGACCATGCATATATAGTTGTGTTTACTGTTCTCCTACGAGCATTACATCACAGATCACGGCACAAATGGCAGCGTCGGGAGCCTCGATTGCTTCTAGCTGCCCTCGGTGGCGGCGGCGACGGACGACGGTGGCTCAAGCAGTTCAATCAAATAAATCTAAGGTATCTTGGTCGTCCTTGCCTCCACCATGTTCCTCTAGCTCTCCTGGGGCAACACTCTTAATCTGTTCTTTGATCTTTTGCATCTCTTGCCTTATCTCGCAGGCATCCGCCAATATATCGTCACGAGCCGGTCATGTCGAGGCGACCCACGATGATCCACTACCACTTGGGCCAGCTTCACCATCACTACTACCGACAGCATTTTTGGCAACGGGGGGCAAATAGATCAAAGGCGGCTGGGTTTACGAGCCGCCTCTGTAGTGCCCCGTCGTGAGCCGCCTCTGGTAAACAATTTCCAGAGGCGGCTGAAGAGAGAGCTGCCTCTACAAAACAATTTTCAGAGGCGGTGTAAATGTGTTTTCCAGAGGCGGTTGAGCCAGCCGCCTCTGTAAATAGCCGCGGACCCGAAAAATTTCGCCAAATCGCCTCATTCGCGCTCGGCGTCTGTGAGGTCCGTCTTCAAATGGCTAAGTCCCGAGACGCCGCCGCCCGTCTTTCCCTCTCGTCTCGCCTCTCCCTCTCCTTGTCCCCCGCCCTCCCTCTCCCTCTCCGGCGGCCAGATCTGGCGGCCAGATCCGGCGGCTATGGCGGCGCTACCCCTTCCCTCCCCGCCCGAGGGCGCGGCAGCCCGTGGCGGGGCGCGGTGGTGGTGCGGCCCGAGCGGCAGCGGCGGGCGCTCCTGGTGAGGCGACGCGGCGCGGCCCGAGCGGCGGCGGCGGGCGCTCCTGGTGAGGCGGCGCGGCGTGGCCCGAGCGGCGGCCCCGAGCAGTGGCGGCGGGCTCTCCTGGTGAGGCAGCGCGGCGCGGCCCGAGCGGCGGCCCCGAGCGACGGCAGCGGCGCTCCCTCTGTCTCAGGTATATCTCCCCCTCTCCCTCTGTGTCGGTGCAGCGGCGGCCAGATCCGGCGGCCCCCTCCCTCCCTCCCTCTCCTCTCCCCCTCCCTGTCCCTCCATCTCTCTCTCACTTAGAGAGGGTTAAACTATGAATAAAACTGACTTCCAAGGGTTAAACTACGAAGAAACTAGGGATCTAAACGTGATTATCTGAACTAAACTCGATCGCGGGTTGATTTCTAGCTAACTCAGGGGCTCTTCTGCTATGCGACCACGGCTGACCGGTACTGACCAAAACCGATCTAAACTGGAGCATTGGATCTAAACCTACCGGCTCAGGTTGGGCATCAATTAGATCTAATCGTGGTTGTGGAAAGAAGATCGAATGGCGAAAACTTGCGGGAGCGACGGCCGGCGGAGCAGCTGGCGACGGCGAGCAGAGCGCGACGGCAGAATGGCATCTAGAGAGTAGGCAACGAAGACAGTGGGAAAAAGTTAAAATCCCAATAATCATCCAAAGATTTGATGTGATGGGGCTAATTATTAGCCCACGTGATTCAAACAGGCCCCTGATAAATTAATTATTTGATTGACATCAGCAACAACTGATCTGATCTCATGACGAATTGAAAGAATAAAAGGCAAACAGGTTCGCGTTATCAATTCATTTAACGATCGCCATGCAAATATTTTTAGAGTTCAAGGGTATAAACCCCAATCCATAAAATAGGACCAAACCAAGTTCAAATACAGGTTCAAGGCTGCATACAACTGCAGTTACCGCATACACTTCCGCACCTAGAACTTAGCTAACCCAAACAAACCACCCATCAGTATCCCAGCCAGATGACCATCAGACGCACGGCAACAGCTTCCATCCGCCCTTCTCGTCAGTCACCCGAGGCATAACCTTTGAGCTCTTGAGGAGAGCAGCTCCATCCTGTTGATGAAGATTGACCACTTGTCCAAGTCCCTCACCGGGCATAGAATCTCCCAATGTTTCAGCATAAGCGTCACACGCCTCCAAAAGTTTGAGGTGTTTCTCCAACTCTCGTTCTGAAAATACAAGGAATTTCTTAGCTTCCACAATCCCCACGGGATAGCAGAGGAGGCCATATTTAGACAACCGAATTTCTTATTACACAACCAAAAGTTAGCAACCGACACAAAATTCTTGCCTATGTCCAACTCACAGATCGCCATGCAAATCTCGCGTATAAATCAACTTGCACGGCACACGCGGTCTATCTATCTACCTGCAAGACTCATACAGAAACAGAAGAAAATGGCCTTCTCCTGCTCCTACCATAGCAGTGCCGGCCTGCTCTTTGCGCTCCTATTCTCTGCAACTCACAGTAGCAGCCAGCAGGTCGAAGCCGCTGTCGATCCTCTGCTTCCGATGTGCAAGACCGTCGGCGGCGGCAGCAAGTACGTCGGAATCGACTTCTGCCTGTCAGCCCTCCGCTCCGACAATCGGAGCCGCAGCGCCAAAGGCTACAGAGACTTCTCCAGCATCGCATAGCACGGCGGTACAGATCGATCACCTACTGCAGAAAGGCATCGACGCCGCGACGAGCGGTTGCCTTCGGTTGTGCCAAGAGTTGTACATAGAGATCGTGGGAAGGCTGTCAGGCTGCGCCGATGGTGTCAAGGACGGCAGTTTCGAGTTGGCGCAAGTGAACCTGTGGTTATTAGCGAGTGATTTGAAGAAGTGCGAGGCCGGGTTTATCGCAAGCCATGTGGCGTCGCCGTTGAAGGTGGACGACAACAATGCGTTCAAGCTGGCAAAGCTTGCCGATGGTTTGCTGGATCACGCCACCTTATCATCATGATAACTGTAAAACGTTTGCATGAGAGAAAGCAAACGATGAGGGAAAAAATGCTTGTATTTTTTTTTATTTCAATTTGGACCGATGTTTGCAAGGGATGTCGATGCAACACGATGCCGTCATTTTACCTCTAGATAAGTCAGTTTCGTGACAAGATATATTTTTCCCTTTCAAGTCTTTTTGCGAGGCTTGTCGTGTTCCCTTTTTTTTTTTTTGCACCTTCTCCTGCAGTGTGGTTGTGCTGTCGTCGTGGACATTCGTGAGCCGTTGCCGCCACCAGGTGCAGTGGTTGCTCGACGGGGAGCTCTGAACGACGGTGATCCACCTCGTAGTTCAAGCTCGGTCAACCTCGTGGAGGCATGAGAGAAGGCAAGGGAGAAAGAGCACAGCGAGATCACTGCAAGACTAGATGATGGCGAGTTGCAGCGGGAGCGCCAAGCAGGGGAGACGGAGGACTTGGTCTTGGTGGGTGGCGACGAATCGGTGACCTCAGAGGCGGGCGACCGCTCTGCTCTGCTCGCGTGCGGCGGCTCGCGCACGCTCGTCATCCTCTCCGCCCTGCGTTCCTTCCTAGCTGCGGCAGTAAAATCGACGGCGTCAGGAGCTCCGCAAAGTAGCAGCGGGAACGCGGCGGCGCTCTGGCGTCTGGAGACGGAGATGGCTCGGCGCACGCGGGACTTGCGGGAGAATCCGTGAGGAGAGAGCTAGCAGATGGGCGGCGCATGGACACCTTCGTCATCTTGTCTTGTGTAATGGAGGACGCCGCCGCCTCGATCGAGCAGCTCATGTTTGTCCACCAACGCATTGGCATTGGCGCATTGCTCAAGATGGTCTCCGCGTCTCTCTCGATTGGGGCCATTGGGTATGCTGAGGCAGCCAGGTGCTTGGGATTTGGTTTTGATCAGGACTGCATCGTGGATGTCACAGGTGCAGCACCGCGCCACTGAAGGAGAGGCCAGTTTTCAACGACGGCCTCCATGGCTGCGCAAAATGTGACGGGCTCATATACATACTGATGGTTCATGACGTAATCAAAAAGAAAATGTAATTGTCGAGTGCAAGCTAGCAGAAGGCGCAGCAGTTGGGCCACATGTGATCAAAATGGTTGGTTACACTCAGAGGTTGGAGAAGCTGGGCTTCCCACTTGACCAAGAGTTGGCCACTGACTTCATTTTGGCATCTCTTCCGCCTAGCTATGGGAACTTCATCTCGAACTACCACATGCATGGGGCGGAGAAGGGCCTGAATGAGCTGTGTGGCATGCTTAAGACAGCAGAGGGTGATTGAACGGCAAAAATTTGTAGCCAGCAGATCTGCACGGTTGTGGTACACTGATATCTACAAGTAAATCACGACAAAGTCTACCCAACCCATCTTCTCATTTTGTCCCTGCCTGGTTGCTGCCTGGGGACTCTGGAATCAGGAGCAACCTTGTGTGTAGCAGCGGCGGCCAGCCTTGGTGAAGCCCTTCGCCTTACCAGCAAACTCGAGCTCCTCATAATGTGATTATGCTCACAAATTGCTCGTGCTGATCGCTGGTGTTCTTGTTCCTTCAACTTCCTCTCAAGCACTTTGTTCTGACAAAATAAACAATAACAAAAAACTATCCACATAGCAGAGTCAAATATAGTAAAACCTATAGGAGTCACCTTTTGTTCCACAATTGATGGCTGATGTTCTTGTTCTTTCTCCTTTAGTTTTCCAGAAAGCAGACACTGCTGTTTCTCTGATGTAATTTGAGAATGCGCCTTGGAATCTAACCGGCCTTCAAGCTCTTTTACCTATTATATATGTTTCAACAAGGTTGTCAGGTACAAATGAGCAATAGTATAACTGAGAAACATGAGAAGAACCAACTCTTCAAATTTTACCCTCGTCAATCCTATATACCTTCTCTTGCAAGTCCTTGCAAAGTTGTTTGTCCCCTTTGGCTTTGCTCTTTAAATTTTGTAAGTCTTTTTCTAGCTTTCTGACTTTCCTGCTTAGTTTCTTCAAGCTTGCATTCATTTGGCGGGAAAAATGTAAGATATATCATTAGGCAAGCTTCAATCAGGTTACTAGCACAGTACAGAAGTTCATCATGAAAGTCAGATTCAGGAAAAATGCACAACTAAAACTCACCATCTGTCTGGTGTTTTGAAGTTGGGCACTATGAACCTGCTTCTTTGCTGGCCCCAATTCAATATGACGAAGACAGCTAGCAAAACTTAATGACATCAAGGTTTCTGAAGCATCGCTTTCTGATGGGCTAATTTGAACAAGCATTAATGCTTTAGAGTTCCCTCCTATTATCAATGTGAAAAGCACAGAAATAAAATTAATCGTGTGGCTAAGTCAATAAAACAAAGAAGATACTTATTGATCAAGGGCATGGTTTTCCTTCAACAAGCTGATAATCTTACCTAGAGAATCTTGCAGCAAGTATGTCAGCTTGGAATTCCTGACCAGAAAAAGGTAAATAAATAGCAAGCGATAAGATCAGATGGGGCCACACACTTAAATACGCACGTTATATGAGTACCACAAACCTGTAGGGTATATGGCTATTTTTCATAGCAAGAGCAGAAATGACACCACGCAATGCAGAAAGTGATCTGTTAATATACTTTGCTTCATTAAGCTGTTCACCTTGAGCATCAGTCTTGGTTAAGCGCTCACTTCCAGCCAAATCTACAAGCCAAAGTTTACTGCTTGTACATTCTCCATTCAGATCATTCTTTGCTCTCACCTTGATACATATCATGCTGAAACAAAGTTATGAAGGTTAAAAAAATGGACAACAAGCCAAAAATACGAATATATAATAATACAATTGTGACTAACAAGTGTGAACGACTGCTGTGCGTATTCACGTTGTTTGAACCTACGATGAAACGTCATCAAGTAAGAAATCTGTAGTGGATTTTAATGGAGCCAATGGTGGGGAGATCATGGTCACAGTTACTGAAACTACTAAAAAGACATTCAAATTCGACAGAGTGTTCACTCCAAAGGATGGTCAAGGTACATGTTTGAACTGGACTGTGCTAGTTCTTCTTCCATTGTAACACTATCACTGTGTTAGACTGGTGGCTGCATAATAATTCATGTTTGGTTAAAAAGAAAAACTTCGAGACACTATTAGTTTAACTATTTATGTTCTTTTATGTCTGCTAGTCTACCCCAACTTGTTTGTGATTAAAGGCTTTGTTGTCGTCGTCGTTGTTGTGTTCCTTTGTATCTGCTAGCATGCAAAACTTTCCTTGCCCGACTGTTGGTGTCTAATGTGCAACTTGAATGAATATGCAGGTGTTATATATGCTGACATGTCTCCATTGGTCACTTCAGTCTTAGATGGCTACAATGTATGTATTTTTGCCTATGGACAGACAGGATCAGGAAAGACTTTTACTATGGAAGGGACCGAAAGAGATAGGAGGGTCAATTATAAAAGTCTGGAAGAATTATTCAAAATTGTGAATGAGAGGAAGCCACATATAAATATGACTTATCTGTGAGCATTCTTGAGGTGTATAATGAACAAATCAGGGACCTTCTTGCGACGCATTCATCTAAAAAGTATGAAAAAGTACCTTTAAGTCTTTTTTGTTTTACAGCAGTATTAGTTTGTGGTAAATTAATGTTTATCTTTTGAAATTAGTCTGGAGATCAAGCTGGACAGAGATAAATCCTCTCATGTGCCTGGAATAACGGATGCCAAAGTCAAGGACATAAATAAGGTTTGGAACATTTTGCAAACTAGAAGCGCAATGTTCCAAACCTCATTTGTGTCCTCATTGGCTCCATTAAAATCCACTACAGATTTCTTACTTGATGACGTTTCATCTTTGCTTAGGGGTCGGCACCAACAGAAAACCCTAATATTTCCTAAAATAGTAGAGATAAACAGGAATTGAAATATGAAATCAAGTAAATGTTAAGTGTAAACGACTGTAATTACACTTCAAAAAAAAGTGTAAATGACTGAATAAACAAAGAACAGTACATACCTTTGGTCTCCTGAACAATATTATGAAGTTTCCTGTTCTTGTCCAACTCTTTATTGTACTTAAATTTTAAACATTCATGCTGGGCAACTGTAATAACAACAACATACAATTACTATTGAAGTATTGACAACTGAATGTTTTTGTAATTGCAAGTCCACAACAACGCCACTTCAGATATTACCTAAGTCCTGAACCACACTCTTGATCTTACTCAATTCAGGAAATGCATTTGCACATTCACGTACTTCATGATTCAACCCTATCTGTGCTTGTTTCAGGCCCTGAGGATTAGTGAGCGAAAAATTGTTTTACTTAACCAATTCCAGCTGTTGGTGTGATATGGCATGCATTCAATTAGCTTTACCTTGATTTTCCTTTCCAAGATAGGAATGGCAGCAGCCCATGATTTCTTGTCATTTTCATATTTTTGAGAAACATTTCTCAGTTGATCACTCTCTCTACAAAGGGCTTGCTCTGTAGCAAATGGATAAAAATGGTGAGTATATACAAACAATTAGAATGAGAAAATGATTGCTGCCCTGGCATAATCCATACCAAGCCTCTCTATTTCCATATCCTTTTGGCAGAGCTCTTTTTTAAGTCTGCCAAGCTCCAGATTGTTAGAGTCTACCACAGAAACCTTGACATTGGAATCATAGCCTGCAGCTGCATCGCCACCAGCATTAATGAACAGAACAGAGTCATCCACTTCGTGAAAGGCAGCATGGGGGAGTAAGAGGAGCTCCATAGAGCAACCATAACATATTAAAGTAAAATTTCTCAAATAATTCTATTCTTCCATTGGCAATTTGAGAACAGAAGCAATCTCTAATGATCTGTGTATATATGATAGGCAATTTAGAAACAACTACGAAAAAAGTTCAGAATTTTGCGTGGCTGTTCCAACCAAAGTGTAGATCTGTAGTAACAAGCCTACTTTCACATATCAAAGGTTCGCTTCCTTGCTCAACAGTGGCACAGTGCTGTGACTTCAAAGCCCCATAACATTACTCTAGTTTCAGTTATAATGTGAAGCTCTAACTTTACTGACATACATGAGAAATCTACTACATTCTAAAAAATCTGTACCTTATTCACTCTATGGTATCAGATCAAGAAATCATACCAATCCACTTAAAGGCTTAAAGCAGCTATGTTGGTAGATATTACAACAAACCACAAAATGATTTCTTTATGTAAAGGCATTGTTCAACAGTTTCATTGATTAGGATCTAGAAAACAGTGTTTTATCAAGTCTGATCTAACATACTAACCATAAAAAGGTGCACGACAGTTCCACTGGCCACTGCTATACTATGTTTTTAAGGCGGTAAGGCGAGGCGAAAGGCGTTTCACCCCCTTCCAACCGCTTAGGCAACGCCTGGGCGTGTGTAAGGTGAGGCAAGGCGATGCCATACTAATTGTTAGCTAAGCTAATAGTTAATAGCAGCCTGGATTCACCTACTAATAGACGGTTAGATAGTTGTTTCCAACTATTAGCACCTATTAGCAGCCTACAACTAGCTAATGGACTAATTGTTAGGGTGGGTGGCTAATTGTTTTAGCAGGTCTATTAGCAGACATGTTTGGATCCTCACCAACTAATTTCAGCCGCTAACTACTAGTACTAATGGATCCAAACGGGCATTAACCCAGCAACAAAGAAACCCTAAAAAGGTAGCCATTAGAACTCCACCTGAAATGCCGGACAGCCTCTGTCTAGACCTGAGGATCGGTGAACGGGCCGACTCTAGGGCCAGGGCAGCCTCCTCGTCACGGGCGGGGCTGGCGCAAGGAGCCCCCTTCTCCCCGTCAACGGCCCATGAATCGGCTGCCGTGGCCTTTGAAGCCGCAAGTCTTTGGCTTCTCCGCAGGGTGGTTGGTGTCGGCGCCACCTCCTTCGATTTATGAGGGGTCCTCGTCGTCGCGTGTACTGGAGTCCAGATCGGCGTGGGTGCAGCCCCCATGCGGCGGGTGGTGCTGCGGCCGCGGGAGAATGGGCTCTAGATCTGCTGCTCATCCCCAGATATCACCGCGGCCTTCGCCGCCAACTTCATCACTGAAGTCCCCGGAGTGTTCGTGCCGATCTCTTCAATCCCGTCGACCTAATCCGCAACCAAAACCCCACAGAAACATATGAGAATCCCGATTTCCAAACCAATCGATCAAAACAGATGGGTAATCGAATACGCTTACCGAGCTTAGGCCCTCGAGCGCCTTGATCATGGCATCGTTAGTAACGTTCGCACGGACGCCGTTACGCTTGCACAGCGCCTGGAGCTTGCGGCGCGAGATCTTGTGGAAGTCCATGGATCTGCGACGATAGAACCCAAACTCAAAAATAGGTCATGCCGTCGTGCACAGTGATCTGGGTACCAAAAATACACTCCAACAAAAGACCCAAACACACACCCATTTTTGCGTACCGCGGGAGATGAGACGCAAAAATGCGTCGTCCAGAGAGGGCGACGCAAATTCTTCCGCGCCGTAGTGGTGGACCCGCGGCAGACGCGGCCAGGCGGGACCGCGTCGGGGAGCCGCCGGCACGGTTAGGAGCGGGGCGAAGCGGGGTGCGGGGCGCGGCGAGGAGCAGCTGGCCCGCGGACGACGACGATGCCGCCGCAGGAGGTGGGAGGCGGGGCGACGGCGGATCCGCGGCGGGGCGGAGAGGCGAGCCTGTGGCCGGCGCTTCCAGGCGGGGCGACGGCGGATCCGCGGTGGGGCGGCGGGGCGAGCCCGCGGCCGGCGCTTCCAGGCGGGGCGAGGCGGAGGATTTGGGTTCGCTGCTGTTGGAGTTCGCTTGTGTCTGGGTTTCCTGACAGAGGAATAGAGGGATAGGGGCCGCATTAATTCTACCGGAGCAACGGCTACAATTTGCAGGCGACGCTCGGGAAACGCTAGCCAGCGCGGAATTACCGAATCTGCCCTCGGGCTGTGGTAGTTTTCGTTTTTTTTTTGGGTGGCGGCTGTAAGGTGAGTCCGGTTTCATGTCCCACCTACCTAGACTGCTACATATTTTTTTTCTTTTTATTGTGCACAAGAGAAGAGTTTCATGAGAATGAACTAACCTACATATATGTCTAGCCCGTGTTTAGTTTCCAACCAAATTTCTAAAAAGTGCTATAGTATCTATCACATCGAATCTTGTGATACGTCCATGGAGCATTAAATGTAGACGAAAAAAAACTAATTGCACAGTTTGGTTGGAAATTGCGAGACGAACGTTTTGAACCTAATTAGTCCATGATTGAATACTAATTGCCAAATAAAAACGAAAGTGCTACAATAGCCAAATTTTCAAATTTCAGCCAACGAAACACGTGCCTACTGCAACTGGCCTAAACGTGCATGGGAGGAGTGGTGAGAGAACCAGAGGTGTTTATGAGGGCGTGTTCGAATGGTTGCGAAGCACGTCACCGAGTTTACATTTGCTCTAATTTAAATTCTTCTTTTATCAAGCACCAAAGTGATCACCTAGAGGACTAAATTAGCACTAATCTTGTCATGTCAAGTCCCTCTAGTGTTATTTTAAATAAACAAGTTCTGTACTTCTGTACTTTGTTGTAGCATTGTTGGTAATGGAACAGCCTTTGGCACCTTTAAGAGCTGCTGTATTGTATTCCAGGCTTCAGAACTGCAGCAGAAAATTGAAAATGTAGGGGGACAAGCACTCAAGGATTAGAAGATAAAGGTTACCAAAATTCAGTCTGTAAGTATATGAAATTTTGACCTGTATCCGTTTCCCTTTTTGGGTTACTCTATTTCTTGTTATTTGATGTTTAAAACATCAGGACCTTGACAAAACAAGCTCACAAATCAATCAACACAAAGTTCAAATAGCCTCATCTGAGAAGAAGGTGACAAGGTTGTCCAAGGGCGTTGAGGAGTCCACAAAAGAGAAAGATGATCTTCTCGCTGAAAAGGAGAATATGATGTCTTTTCTCAATAAGATTCACGAGAAGGCCTTTGTTCTTTAGGAAGATTATTAGAAAACACAAGAGGTTTTTATAATATTAAGTGTGGGCGAGCTCGACAAAACTAAGGAACACTACAACAAATTAAAGAAAGCAATGGATGAACTGAGAGCCTCTCAGAGGTTTCTAACTTGTATTTGTTAAGTGTTACTGTCTTATGCAATTGTGCTGTATTGTTTCTTCTGTGGTTAATGTCTCATCCAGGTTACCAAACGCCTTCCCATTTTGACAGTTAGAGCTGGCCCACCTCATGTCCAGGCTACCAAACAAAATCTATGATTTTTTTGTTTTTATATATTAAAAAAATAGTTTTTGCGAAAATATATCGTTAAAAAAGAAAAAAGCAAATCTATACCTATACCACCAGTTGATCGGCAGAAGGAAACTTACCGCCGGTTCAACTGGTGGTAAGGTCCTTCCGCCGCTTGAAACGGCGGTAACCACTTACAGCCGTTTCAAACGGTAGTAAGTGGACCTTCCGCCGGACGAGTCGGCGGAAGGTTCCTTTCGCCGACTCATCCGGCAGTAAGAGGCCCTTCCTGTTTTTTCCATTTAAAATTAATACTTTGAGAAATAAACATCAAAATAAACGTTGTTTCATTTAAAAATGATTACGTTGGGAAATATACGTCAAAACATAAGCTTTGTAGATTTTTTTTAAAAAAAATATACATCAAAATGAAAGTTTTTTCACTTAAAAATAATTATTTGGGAAAATATACATCAAAATAAAAGCCGCTTCATTTGGCAAAAGACATATATGATTGAAGGCCTTATTTCATTAAACGGCGGCATCCAATGCATCATCCGGTCGTATCGTGAAGCCATAAGGTCTGATAAAAGAAAGGACAATGGCTTACGACACTTCGGGGGGCACTAGTTGTAAGGATAACGTGTCTTAGTTAAGTATAAAAGCTAGTTCAACGCGGATGGTCTACTGTGTGAAACGGAGGAACTAGCCCTTTCTAGTCCGTCCGTCAGATGGTTCCCTGCCATCAGTATTGCGGCCATTATCATCCTCTGTTTGCTGACGTAGTCTGGCCTCACGAGCAGCTAGCTCATTCTCACATTGCTGTAGCACTGCCTCACGTTCTTCTAAGGCCTTGCGCCCACTACTCAAAATACCTCTCTTGCCACGGTAAAAAAGAAGCCTAAAATGGTTGCAATAGGTGGAATTGCAACACGTTTTTTTCATTGCTATCCGTGGCAAGTACCTCCATTGCAATAAGGTATTGCCACGTCATTTTTTTTTGTGTGTGTTACAATAGTTATACATAATTGATCGTTGCAATAGTATATATTGCAACACACCTGGGCGTTGCCAGAGAAACCAGTTGCAACGGATCAAAAGCGTGACAATAGGCATATTAATGTTGCAATAGATTATATTGCAACGGATCAAGAGCGTTGCAATAGGCGTAGTACTGTTGCAATATATTGTATTGCCACGGATCAGAAGCGTGGCAATAGGCGTATTAGTGTTGCATTATATTGCAACGGATCAGAAGCATTGCAATTGGCCGAACCTCTGTTGCCACACCTGCTGTTTGGTTGCTATACGTGGAGCCCAATATTGCCACACTAAATATTTGGTTTGCTATAGGTGGAACCCTCTATTGCCATACTAAATATTTGGTTGCTATAGATGGAACCCTCTATTACAACGCTAAATGTTTGGTTGCTATAGATATAACCCTCTATTGCAACGCTTACTGTTTGGTTGCTATAGGTGGGATCCTTTATTGCCACGGTAAATTCTTGGTTGATATACATAGAGCCCTCTATTGCCACGCTAAATGTTCGGTTGCTATATGTGGGATCCTCTATTGCCGCACTAAATATTTGGTTGTTATAGGTTGCCACACTAAATACTTGGTTGCTATAGGTGAAACCCTATATTGCCACGATAAAGTTTTAGTTGCTACACGTGAAATTCTCTATTGGTTGCTATACGTGGAGCCCTATATCGCGATACTAAATATTTGGTTGCTATATGACTTTTTATTGCCACGCCAGTAGTCCATATTGCAACAATTTGTTTAGTTGCATCAAACATTATTATGATGCTATGAATATTTAGAACAATATATGGTTAATAATAAAGCACGTAGACAGCCATGAAATGAAAATATGGTTAATAAAACAATCCAATGTCAAACTAGGCTTAGATACACGCCGTACTCGAACACATAAGTACCCAACACACTGGTTTAAACAGATCAAATTGTAATGAGCTACATCTAGCACTGCAGCAAAGGTTGGCTTCATGTTGACCGTCCCGTCACTCCTGCGCTCCACTCAAACTCTAGCTTCGTCCTGATTCCAATAAGCAATAACGCAAGAGCTTCCCACTGCAATTATTTAAAAAGAATAGTGGGGAACGATCAACACAGCTGAAAGTCAGAACTATAGCACAAGATCACTCGCAAAAGGAACTACCTCACAAGATCAACACAGCTGAAACTCATAGCTAAAAATGTTTCCAAAGCTTCTGCTTGCGGGGATGGTTTCTCTGAACAGCAACGTGGCAGGCTTTCCAGAGGGACATCTCACTACCAGAAAACCGAGCATTCGTCCACGTCACGTTAGTACCGGTTGCATTTTGAGCCGGTACTAACGTGCAAAACAGGCTCCTGGTGACGTCACTGGGCCTATTTAGTACTGGCTGGAGCCACCAGCCGGTACTAAATAGCGCCACCTCCACCGCAGCAACGGCCTAGAGCCATTTAGTACCGGCTGGTGGCTCCAGCCGGTACTAAATGTCGCCCGTACTAATCGAGCCGGTACTAATCGAGCCCATTTAGTATCGGCTGGTGGCTCCAGCCAGTACTAAATACTAAATGAGCTCGATTAGTACCGGCTGGTGCCTCCAGCCGGTACTAACTTCACCGGCGGGACCCACCAGTCAGTACACGGCATTTAGTACCGGCTGCAGCCGATACTAAATGGGCTCGATTAGTACCGGCTGGTGGCTCCAGCCGGTACTAACTTCCATCCTATAAAAAGGGGCTTCTTCCTCCCTGAGTCGACAGCCAACCACTCCACTCTACCCGAGAGCAAGCTTCTCTTCACTCCCATGGCGCCTTAGGGGGAGGTGCTGCCCATTTTTTCAACAATTTGTGGAGATTTCACCCATCCAAGTGTTCTAAATGTTAGTAACTTCATTCTCCCTTCTCTAATGTTTAGTATGTTACATTTTATGCTTTGTAGCTAGAGAAATTTGTGTTTTACTTAGAATGAGGGAGAAGAGAGATTTTGTATTTGTTCATGCATTTTCTTATTAATTTCACTAATCCTAGTGTTAAATGGATAGCAACTTGATCTTCTAATCATGCA